CCTGCTGAAGTCAAGTGCCAGTTGACATCTATTAAGATGGCGGTTGTGCTGTTGTTTCTCTTCCAGTACAGAATTCTCTCTCGGTTCCTAGGCCTACTGGAAGTGGGAAAATGAAAGCTATGTCAGGTGTTTTGACAAAAATGGGAACAAGCATATTTCTTGGGTGGAAGTGAGATCTTTTCTTACCACGTCAGTGTGCACACTGCAGGTATGCCTGCGGCTAACCCCTAGTCCCACTTCACTCACCCAGGTGCCCTGCCTAGCCCCTGTGGCATCTGGGTGCGTGGCCCTGGAACTAGCTTCTCACAACTGGGATCCCCTGTTGTCTGCTCTTTGCTCTGGGTGTTGGACAGAATAAACCCACGTGAAATCTGTGGTGCCATGGTGTCAGGAGGCCCAGGCCTATTTGGCACTTTTCCACTGACAGTCTACAAGAAGGGAAGGGGTCTGGTGGCCTTGGCAAGGTTCCTCAACCTGTGTGTCCTGACCCCACCTCTGCTTTCTGCCATGGGGTGTAGGTGACAAGGGGGACAGGAGGGGACTTCCCTGGTGGCACGGTGGTTAAGAATCCGCCTGCCAATGCAGGGGACACGGGTTCAATCCTTGGTCCAGGAAGATCCCACATGCTGCAGAGCAACTACATCCGTGCGCCACAGCTACTGATCCTGCGCTCTAGAGCCCATGAGCCATAACTACTGAAGCCTGTGCGCCTAGAGCCCGTGCTCCGCAACAAGAGAAACCACCGCAATGAGAAGCCCGCGAACCACATCAAAGAGTAGCTCCCGCTTGCCGCAACTAGAGAAAGCCCGCGCACAGCAACAAAGACCCAACGCAGCGAAAAAAAAAAAAAGGTGGTGGTGGACAAGAGGAGCAGGGACTGAACTGGGGAGGGATTGTGAAAGATTAGGCATCGTGGAAAAGGAGCATAAGTGACATAAATTTAGGTCAAAACTCACTCCTTTGAGTAACCACTGAGCTGTTGAGGGATTAAATTAGTGACTATATGGCAAATGCTTAGAGCAGTGCCTGGCACATAATAAGTACTATATCTTTACTGTTAGCAGCAGCAGCAGCATCACTAATGTCAATATTTGAAAGGTTAGGCCACGTGTAATAACATATACTATACCATTTGGAAAAGAGGGGGAATAAAGACTCCTCTGAGCCTGGCCTGAGCTGTCATTTTGACTACTGATGCATCAAATGGTTAATAAAGTTCCCTAAGGTTTCAAACCCCCAAATGATCTGCTTTCTCTTCTTTAACCACAAACCCCAGAAAGTCACAGCTACTGGAAGGATGAGTGAGAATCCCTTCTGCCTAGACGCAACACAAAGACACTTCTTTTCTCATCTTCTTTCCACTCCGAAACAGTGCCAGCTGCTAAATTAGGACAGCAGCTTCGAAACAGAAAGACCACCACACAAGAGTCACTCCTCCGCAGCCAGAAGAATTTAACAACTAGTCCGCAAATCAAAGGGGCTTTTGCACTAATAACTGAAGACTTCCAGAGTTGACATAATGTTGTAAAAACCGTATAGGCTGCTTTTCCTTGAGATCACCCGGGAGAGGAAGAGTTACAAAGTACTTCTCTGCACCAAATGGGGCAGGGTTATAGTGGCCTTCCCTGCTCCCCACTGGGAGTCCTGGCCAACCTCAGAGAGAGCACTGAGGTGGCCGGGAGATGGGGGGCGGGCAGAACTCAGCTCTCTGCAAGGTAGGGCTTGGGTGTTTAGCGGGAGATGTCTCTCCTGATGGGGAATCCTTACGGTCATGATTCAGTACTCTGAGTCCTAGGATAAGAAATTCTTTTATTTTTTTATAAATACTCCCTACTGTGAGTCTTGTTACACAAATACCCTGTCTCCGGGCTTCCCTGGTGGCGCAGTGGTTGAGAGTCCGCCTGCCGATGCAGGGGACACGGGTTCGTGCCCCGGTCCGGGAGGATCCCACATGCCGCTGAGCGGCTGGGCCCGTGAGCCATGGCCGCTGAGCCTGCGCGTCCGGAGCCTGTGCTCCGCAACGGGAGAGGCAACAGCGGTAAGAGGCCCGCGTATCGCAAAAAAAAAAAAAACCAAAAAAAACCAAAACAAAACCCACAAATACCCTGTCTCCATGAGACAGACGTAATTAACCACTATTACCAAGTGACAAAGGCTTCTCTCCAGAATTCAACTTTGTTCCTATGTGGGGAGCTGAGCACTGTCCCATACGCATCAGGTGAGTTAGAAAAAGCAGAAGACGTCATCCCTGTCCTCAAATGATACCCCGGGGTCCAATGAGGCTGGAAAGAGGCAGAATTCAGGGTGTATCACATCTGTATGAAATCTATGTGATGGACATTGGGCTTAATCTGAAACCGCCAAGGCCACACTGGAGCGGGGAGGTAGGTATCAGGGATGGAGGAACTGACAGTCCTTCCAGCGAGAGGCTGCATCAGGGTCCAAAGGTGAAGCTGAGGAGGAACCCCTCAGCCCTGGGGCAGTTCCACTAAATTCTGCAGTTTTCTTGTCACCTTTGGTGGTTTTTATTGGGCCACACTCTCCTGGGGCATCATTCAGACAGCGCTCTGACAAGCGTGCATATGTTTGCAAGGCCTGACTGAAGGCTACACAGAATCGTACCAGCGTGGGAAGTGCTGAGGACGAGGAGGCTGACGGAAGCTTTATGGAATAAGTGGGGCTGGCCCTGGATTGGAAAGATAAGCAGAAATGTAAAGGAAAAAGCATTCCAGAAGCAATCGGATGCAAGGTGCAGTGACACCAGGATAGCACATAACACTCAGGCTGTAGCAAATGCTGTTCACTGATCACTGTACTGGTCAGGGTCCGAGGTCCTCAGCACCTATCACTGTACCACGCAGGCTGGAAGCGAAAGCTGA